TGGGACTTTAATTACTGAATATATATATATACATATATATATATGTTTTTGGGCTTCTGGATAATAGATATTATGCTTTCTCAACAAAGTTGAAAGTTACATATGTGGACAAAACACACTTAATTTTTTTATGGAAAATAACAGTATGCAATATATTTGTACAATTGTATTATCTGTAAATTCTTTTTGTAATGTGAAGTTTGGTTTCATATTTGTACTAACATACATGTATTTTGCCTCCATTTGGCAGGAAAGAGTGCACATATTTGGTTTTGCAAGAAAAAGGGAATGAACAACTGATTCACATTGTGTATTCATTGAAAATACTTTCTGGGGGGGTCCGGGCCTTGGGATTGAGGGCAGCTTGCAGCTCCCCACAGTGTGGCAGCTGTGGGGGTGCCCCTGCCGGACCGGATCCTAGGCTGGGGACTCAGGCCAAAGCCACAGCTGAAAGGCAGTGACTGAGTCCTTGGCTTTGGGCAGCCAGTGCCAGTGCACCAAATGGTGTCAGGCTCTGACTGCTGGCTGCCCAGCGGCAAGGTCAGGGGTTTTTAGATATGAAATTGCTGCTTAGGGACACCATGAATAAGGCCAGCTTTAGTATAGGTGAGAGATGAATTCTGGGTGATTCGTAGTAACAGGGTCATGAAACTTTTGGGCAAGCGTGGGGACTGAGACCTGATGGTTTGGAGGGGAATGTCCATAAGATCTATTACGGCCAGACTGATTCACTAGATAAATTAGGAATCCTAAGAAGAGCTGTTAGCATAGCGCATCACTGACTGCCACACACCAGTCCACACCAAAGCTTTGAATGGGGCCTGTCTGGCAGGGCTAGGTGCCATTACTTGACTGGGTGGTGGAATAGTGGATGACTGGTCACATTTGGCAGGGCCAAGACACTATCCAGCATGTGAGAGAACTTGGTCCGGGGGTAAACGCTGTGGGGGAAGTGTGGGCCCAACCCTGTGGAAATACAAATCCTGCAGGTTAGCTCATGAGCTAGGGTTGCGATGGGCTAAGCCAGGAGTGACCATGACACCTGCCATCACTTACGGGTAAAGGAACCAATGGATATCTGGTCAGGTCAAGGCAGCACCACCTGAAGTTGCATCCTAAAATAGGATGTGGGGTGGGCTGAGCTGCAACTGGAAGGGGACAGACCAGGCAGGGTCATGCAAACTTCAACTCACAAAAAAGAATAGAAATCAGGAAGGAGCGCATGTCATTCTGACCTAGGCTCTTACACCAACTGGTCTGCATGAGCCGGGGATACTATGCTACAACATTGAAGGCAAAGGCTGAGATAGGTGGGGATCTTAGCCAATTGGGTCAAAGTAACCACTGGCATGCGTGTAATCTAGGGCTAGGAGTAGACTTGGTTGGGAAGCTGTGAGAGTACACCTTTGCTGGGTAGGGATTCCCACGGGAGAGTATGTGGGCTGGAGTGGGTGCTGCATTCTGGTCTGGATATGGCTACAAACTCCCTAAGCACAAATGTGGACTGGGGCTGGGTGCACCAGGCTGGGCTAGACACCTTCACCATCTGGCACTCTGGAAAACCTGGGCAGATGTAGGATGGACTAGGCTGGGTCTATGCCCCTACTGAGCCCTGTGTGAGCAGTGTCTGGGTATGGACAAGCCTTGGCTGGGGTGAAACAGCCAACATGAAGAACTGGAATGGACTGAAGGCCAGCAATGAGGGCTAGCCCATGGAACCACCAGTTTGCGCAAGACCTGGCATAGGGAGAGGTTCTGAAAGAGGAGCTTGGGTAACTCCTCTGTAGGGACACAGTCCCTACAGGTGAGTGCAAGAACCACGATATGGAGCAACCCAGACCAGGCGAGAGGAAGATACCCACCATCATACATATGGCATAGGTGGGGGACAGACCAGGCTGAACCCGTTCACATCAACTGCTGATGAATCCAAGCACCAGCATAGAGTGTGGGTCAGGCCAGTTCCGGTCCAACTCATACCAGTGCAAATTAAGGAATGCCAAGGTGAGGTGAGCCATACCAGATGTGGTTGCAGCGCCCAAACATCACACGTGAGAACCAGGGGGAAGGAGGCAAAGCCAGCAAGGGAATGTGGGCTCCCCTGCTGGACAACTACTCCCACTGGACTACATGAGTTGGGATAGGGGCAGACCAGACCAGGCAGGGCTACAACACCTGGGGGCCTCATGTGAGCCAGACTGGGGAAGGGCCAGATTGGGCTGACTCTTCTAACTGGTACAAGCAACAGTTAGAGTGGGTGAGGGTTGGCTGGGCTTTGCTAGAGCATCAGCTGGCAGAGGCTGGCATTGGCGGCCAGCTTAAATGCCAGAACCACCTGGAAATTATGACATAAAATGTATAAGTTCTTCCTTATTTATATTTTGTTAATTCAAACTAAATATGCTGTTCAGTTAACAATAGGGGAAATATGGAGCCTTAACAGCCAAAGTACCAGTTTATAAATAAGGATTTATATATTTATTTAATGGTTTTATCTTCAAGTCCACCTTTGTTATTCACTAGTTATACAGATCTTTACTATATTAAGATTGGCAAAAGAATGTAAAACTTTTGCAAAGTATTTAAAATGATGGCTCTACTTCTCATTGCATAATCCATACTTCCAGTGAGCTACTGGACAGGATGCCAAACATTGCTTTCATTTGCCAGTGGACTCAGAAATGGCTGAGAAATAGCAGTAAGTTTGCCAGTGTACTGTCAAAGGATTAACTGTCTATGTTTCTTTAATCTGATCTAATTATTCATATAATTATAAAATATTATATTTGAAAGGGAGCTTAGAAGGCATTTATGCCAGTACTTTATTTAACGTGATAATCATGCCTGTAAAACGTTCCCTTTTATATGAAGTTGGTTGAAACTTAATGGTAACTATAATTAGAAGTTATATTTTGGTGTAAAATTTATTGAAATCCATGTAACTCTGGATTATTCAAAAATTTCTTAGGAACAAATATTCTGAGAAAATGTTCATAGGTTTTTACACCCAAATAATCTTGTCTTTTAATTCCAATTTTGCATGAATATTTTAAATACCCTTTTTTTCCCTCCTAGTTATACTCCTCTGATGATAATTCATTACTTCACAAGGCAGACTCATTTTATGTTTTATTAAGACTAGGAAAAAATAAAGACTACGCAAATAGCAAAAATAAATAGAAAGCATTGAATAAACTGATAATTAATTTTGAGTACTTTGGTCTTAGCCATGGTATTTCATTTTCTTGAACCTCAATTTATTCCGTGTAAAATGAGATCAAAGGATTATGATGAAGATCTGTATTATTATAAGTGAAGCACTTAACATATAAAAGAGGTAACACTTATTGAGTGTTTGGCAAAGCAGAGTTTCTTTAAATCTTTTATAATAACAGTAATAATAATAATGTCAACTAAATGTTGGTGATTTCAGGAAAATGAAACTAATGACAGTTTTTATTTGTTAAAAAAAGATCATATGTAATTTACACATTTTCTCTTGTCATTCTAAAACTTCAGGGAATGAACCCCAGAAGATGAAAGTACAGTTCAGTTGTCTTTCTAAGACATTGTCATTTGAACGAGAAAGAGAGAGGCTGAATGAGTTGCTCTTCCATTTTGGTATCTTCTCGTTCATTCCCCAAATACCACACCAGAGCTTGGAGTAAGACAAGCCAAATCAGAAAAGTCCTTAATTCATCCAGGTCTCCTTATGGATGGTAGGAGCCCAAGTACATGGACCATCATCTGTTGATTCTTAGGTTCAGGAAGCAAGATGAGAAGTGCAGAGTTGCACTGGAAGTAGAAAAGGGTTTCAGGCATCTCATACAGGTGCTTGACTTGCTGCACCATAACACCTCCCTCAGCCCACTTCTTATTTCACAAGTTTTGAATTTCCATGATCAAAACAAAGTCTGTGCTTTATCATAACTACCCCCATCTGGTGCATTGGCTTTGTCTCTTCTTCTGGCCTAACAAATGCAGTTTCTGCTAAGTGATACCGAATATGTGTTGAACAGTCTTGGCTAGATGCTTGGATTCTTTTGATTTATTCACCCTTTTCATACAGCCAGTGTGATTGTAAGTCTCACACACATCCACTTCTTCACCCTATAATGAGGTCCAGGGCATGACAGAAAGAAAAGGGACAGACTTCTTTTCTCTTCAGCAGCTATGTCGGCATGCTCTATTGTCGGCCGAAAGTTGGGAAGGTAAAAAAAGGTTCTGGCCATTTTCTTCAATAGGGTCATTCCTTCCCACTGTTCCATTAGAATAATGTTTTAGAACTTCTCTTCTTGCCTCATCCCTGATGAGTTATTTTATACCTTCTTTCATATAATCTGCCTTCACAGTTGGTAATACCCATATCCATTCAGTTAAGTTTATCTTATCTGTTCTAGACAGACTCTATTAAATGAGATTAAGTGGATAAAGAAAGTATTGAATTCACTCCCCCACAACACAGCAATGTTATAAAGCCAAGCAAATCAATATATGAAGAAAAAGCAAGAGGTTCTTTTTGGTCTCTCTGTGTCTCTCTCATGTTTTGCAAAAGCTGGGACTCAATCCAATCCCTATTCACTCTGTGTCCTTGTTTTTGATACTACATTTTAGGGAATGATGCAGTCAGTGCTGAAGGAATGGCAAGGGAGCAGCAAAATAATGAGAGGGTGAAGGAGTGTGGGTGCGAAATGGCTATGCTGTTCCTTAAGGCTGCACCATCTCCTCAAAGCCATCATGACCCCTTGCAGGGGGCCAGACCTGCTCTGCTGAGCTCTTAAAAGATCAGAACCAAATTTGAAGGTTCTGGGTGTCTTTATTATGCCATTCATCATGTAACAAGAAAGCAGCAACTTGGTGTAAAAAAAAAAGCCACCTACTTCCTCACTATTAACCATTTTTATCAGATGATATGACCAAATATTAATGTGTAATTTTAAGGCATGTTTTCCTGAATTATATTCATTTACATCAACCTATTATTTTCTCTTATTTTACAGCAATGAAGTTGAATCTGCGAACACTGGCTGCTGAAGTTTTATGGATTGCTGGTGCTAACACTTGCTAGATTAAGCTTACTTCTTTCAGAACGAGTGCTCCCTTTATGAACTGCAGAGCAGCAGAGGCACTAAACAAAGTTGGCTGTGTGCATACAGCATCACAGCCCTCTATTAACTTCTAGCACTCAAGAGATTTACTTTTAGCTTCTTGCATCTCTGATTATGCCTTTAATGCCTTCTACCATGCTGACAGCAATACTAACATCTCCTATGTTTAGCAGCCAAATAAAGAAGAATCATGGGTAAATAGAAGAATGGGCGTGACTGTTTTTCAACATTAGTTTTACTTAAAGCATATGTTATTAACTGAATCGGGCTTTTATGCTTTGATTCACTTTACATATGTACAACATAATATAAAAATTATTTCCTTCCTGCTTTCAAGGGTAACTAATATTCAGGTTTCTACTGGGGAGACTAAAGGTGAGAAGGTTGGTATTTCATGTAACATACCATTTTTCCTGTTCTGTGTTGCTTTGATACACTATACCCCACAAACATTGTAGCCACAGTGAGTATCATGTTCCTGGGGTCTCTAAAGTATCATATACTTTTTGCTTGTTGTCACATGATTCTTGTGAAGATGATTTAAGAGTCAGTTTATACCCATAAACTCAGGGACAGCAGAGACTGCAGAGTAAATCGGCAGTGTGATGAAACTCTTGGATGCCCATCATACCTGCTGTTCGCCATATTGGCTATGATCAATGCTTGTCAGTTAACTCCAGCAGCCTCTCTGAACCTCAGTTAGTGGCTTCCTTCTCTTGTCTGTCTGAGGAACCTGCAAAAAAACACAGTAAGAAGACTACAAGGTAGTATGGGCAGTGAACTGCACACAGCAAAGAAGCCTTAAGTAAACTCTTTTGTTTCTCATTGCATGTGATCTATATTGCCCATGGCGAAAACTTTGGGCCGCAGCTCGCTCAGACTACTTCATCACCCACTCACTCTGCTCACAGAAAAAAAAAAGGAGAAAAAAATATGGAACAGCAACTGGATACTGTATTGTCTTATAGCTAGTTTGGAATTGCCATTATCAGCCATCGGTGGACAACCGGAGATACAAAATTCTTGTCATCTCCGTTAATGGCAGATGAGTAAGTGGCCTCAGTGTAGCTCTTTGCTCATCTTTTAACCCTTGTGCGAATTATTATTTATTCACCAACATGCACAGTTGTGTGAAGTAGACTTTTAGTTTACTATGAATGGATTCTAATGTTCATTGTGCTCTTATCCATATGAAATGATTTAGATGAATTCAACCTTCATGATAAGTCTATGATGGCGGTAATATTATTCTCCAAATATTATGTCTGTGTGAATATTCCCCCTTAAATGTTTAAATAAAACTGGTAAGTGAGAGAGGAAGAATTCAAGTCCAGGTGATCCAATTCTAAAAGCAGTATCTTTCTATTCATTCACTCATTTTGGACCTCAACTACAGGTAGTTGAGTTGATGTGTCCCAGCTTATGACAAGTTGCTATCATATGATTGAGCAAGTCTCCTCGTGGCTATGAGTATACATGTTGACTGGTGGTTATTATCATCTATAACAATTTCAATCTTTCCTGCCCTGCTATAGGCACACGTTGTTCATTACTTAATATTTATTGTTTATTTACACATTATTGAAAATGCTTTGCTTTACATGTATCTTTAATAAATCTAAATGATGTTGCTTTTATTCTACTTTTGTATTTTTTCACTCAGTGTGTGTAAGTTCTCTGAACATTGCTCAGTAGATTTCTAGTGGCTTGTTTCTTTATGGCTTCATGCTGAGCTTTCATTACAATTCATCGACGCGTCTGCTGCTCCTTGTTTCTCAGTTTATCTTGTACCATGATCTGTTGTGATTTGTTCTGCCTTGGGACTTTGTAACATGGAACTAGAACTGCCTAATTCTAGAATATGTATGTGATGTTTAATTGAGTCCTTCCAGATCATTCTCTGACAGAGACTGTTTTTATTCCCACAATGAACACATCAGAAATATTATATCTTTAAATCCCTTTCCACCTTAGAAGTTCTGAGCTTTGAAAGCTTTGAGTTGCCTACAACTCTTTCAATGGAAACATCTGAATGTGGTATCCCAGTTTCCCTACGTTTTCCAACTACAATGGCACTTGATATCCTTTAAGTCATTACAACTGTCAGTTAATTCTTACTGTCATGAAAACTTGACCCTGAATGGATACTTACTGGAGTTACCATATTAGTGAATGATAAACCTAGCACAAGATCTTTTGTCTTGTCTACTATGCTATTTCTAAAAGAAAAAGCTACATTTAAAAGCTGTATTCTTCTTTGTTCAATATTTCATTAAAGACTAGAGTTTTACAGGCATGAGCAAAAGGAGAGCAAGCAAACAGAACTTGTGCAGAGAACGTGGCATATGGAAGCTGTTGTTATGTGATTAATGAGTATAATAGTCAATGTGCTGTGGAGATTGAGAACATAATAGAAGGAGATGAAAGCAGGTCAGAAGAAATATACCAAAGCTGAGGTTGTGCCTTCATTTGGATCCTCCAGAAAGCCTGACTCTAAGGGATTTACTGCAAATTTGTTTGCAAGGTGACCTCTAGAAACACTAAAACGTAGATTAGAGAATGGAAGGATCCATTAAAAAATTCATTGAAAAACCAGTTACTAAAATGGGCAATTGGCATTCATATGAGGACACATTATTTTCCCGTGAAATTTTAATTATTAGGAAATGGGATTCTATTGAATATTGTTCCTTTTAATCTCTGAGGTACAGAAAGAAGAAACTGAAAAATTAAGTAACAAGGCAATATTATCAGTTTTGTCTGTGGAGCAAGGAAAAATTTTTGTAAATAGGAGCAGGAATGAAAATCTTGCTTGAACTAAGCTGTTAAGTATTTGCACATTTGAAACCTTTACTTATCTGAAACTAAGTAAACTATGTAAGAAGATAATTTGGTTTGTAACAACAGATTGTTTGGCTTAGTAAAAGCCCAGAGGCCCTAGATAATTAATTAATAATTAGAAAATATTTCTGAATTTTTACTAAATGTGTATTACATTTTGGGAACTTTTCACTTTCCTGTGTTGCTCAATTAATATCATGTTCCCTTGATGTATTACGGTGTATTATGTACAAACTATTTGACTAAAAGTCAATCTTTATATCATACTTTAGTGAAGATACTTGAATTTCTTATAAATGTTTTCTAGGGGATTTATGTGCAATTGCCAATATGACGTAAACACCTGAGTACAGGTTTTCTGAATACTCTTGGGATAAATAAAAAAAAATATGCAACCACACAATAGGCAGAGGAAGGTTCATAAATAATGAAAAACGATAAAAGTCTCCAGGGGGTCACAGATTGTAGATTGTGGAGCAGAATTTATGCGAGACTGAGCTGAAAAACGAAAACAATTCTGTGTAATATTTAGTCAAGGGCACATTTTGTGGAAGGGCTGAGAGAGATGCAAAAGGCTCAGATTTTAATGTGAATGGGGTTGGACAACTTTCCTCACAAGACTTAGGGAGCCCTTTCAAATTTGAGCTATGGTAAGCCACTCTCAAAAGTAGGAATCCCAGAGATTTTTTCCAATTGTTTGGGAACCATAGGTCAGTCTTTTTTTTTTTTTCCTCTTTAAATTAATATTGCTCAAAATATAAGTCATAAAAATTGAGGAGAGGGCCCAGTGCGATAGTGTAGCAGTTAAAATCCTTGCCTTGAATGCACCGGGATCCCATCTAGCTCCCTGCCTGTTGTTGTGTGGGAGACCTGGAAGAAGCTCCTGGCTCCTGGCTCCAGATTGGCTTAGTTTCAACAAAGGCGGCTGCTTGGGGGAGTGAATCATGAGGCGGAAGATCTTCCTCTCTGTTTCTCCGGTGCTCTGTATTTCTGCCTTTTAAATAAAAGTAAATAAATCTTTAAAAAATTTGGGGAGAAACTGGAGGATTGTATCTCTTTTCTATTGAACATTTACGATTACAGGAGTAAGGTGTTATATTGGAGATCGTATTTTTTAAATTGTAAAAACTTTAGAAACTGTAGATCATCAAAAGCTCAAGTTTTTGTCAGTCCAAACTAGATATTTTAAGGAAGGAATCTATGACTCAGGATTTATTTTTTGCAGAAAACTAGTGGCATATTTGTTTTCCAAGAGGAAAAACATGAAAACAAGTTTCCTTTTGGGTTTTCAATCTTATCACTGATGACAGATTTTACTTGTATTATTACCCCAGCAACATTAGGAAGAGAAATTATGTCTCAATGCTAGGATGTAGTTGGATTTGATTTTCACTTTGGTCTTTTGTTGTTGTTGTACCAGAGTTGTTTTCAATAAGTATTTTTCCATTTTTCTCCAGTGTATATCAAGCAGATAGCATGCCCCTTCTGCAAGGACACATCCCTCGTGGTTTTGAAAGGAGATGATGGCTAACAAGGAGCCTCTCCACCACCTCATGCTGAACATATGTTTAAGTTTTCTATTTTTTCAGATTAGAAATTTAAATATCCATTTGCCCTATGAGCAGAAGTTCTGAATGACCACATCTTAACATTGGACCTTGTTTTCCAAACTGTGTGCAAAACATAACACACTTTTGGGGAAAAAAAAGTTCATTTCTTCCGTACCAGTGTTGATGGGTATGACACTATGCTAGAAAACTCTTCACAAACTAGTAAAATTTCCTCCAATGTGACCTGTTCTTGAAGTATAGACAGACTGCTGTATTTTTCTTTGATCTTTTAAACAATTCTTCCTGACTTGGTGCTGCATCTCAACAGAAGATGACTTGGTGATTATATTTATTTCAGCCTTTTACTACCTGCTAGCACGTTTCTATTTTGATTTTCTAAACTTCTATATTACACTGTGTAAAGTTTAACGTAATTTATGGACCATCTCATAAACACTTGATAAATCACTCTCAAAAGCACCTGTACAGTGTTCCTTCTAGCTAACCTGTTTGAAACTTGCACCTATAGGCTAAGAAAAATCAAATATGCTCTCCAAAATTTCTGTGAATACCTAATGATTTTTTTTAACTTACTCCAGGACAAATCCCCAGCTGTTATGAAGCATTCGTGTTCTACTTTGAATCTTGCTGCTATACTCTTAGAATGTGCCTGTTGTGGGTCACAAACCCTTTTCGAGACTATCCCCACAGAAACCACTTTCCAACATGGGATAGAAATACATTTTTGTTGGAAATTTGGGTGTAATTTTGAGGACTGGAGACACAAGGATTTATAGCATGCTAGCAAAATTCAGAT